AGGACAGAATTTCCTTGCTGGTGTGTAGTTATGGAGATTTAGGGAAAAGAAGCTTTTGTAATTTTCAGATAAATATACAGCAATGGCAATACTGCAAAATCTCCATTGGAACAAATGTTTAAGCTCTCTCACTTAGACCCATATATGGCTTCTCTCCTTCTCTAAATATTCTTACGATATAACAACTGGAAAAGGATTACTTTTTAAAGACACATGGAGGCATGTCTCTTAAAAACAATTTCAGTCTCCAGTGTAAATTTTGCTCAAAAAACCTGAAGGAACATTAACACCGGTGATGGCTTCTCCTTGGTCTCATCAGTCAATGAGTGAACGGAAATATGTCATTTGAACTGTACCAATACACAATTACACAACTTGCTTATTAAATACTTGCAACACAGAGGCTATGAAGAGTAACAAAGTTATAATGAGAAATTAAATGACGAATGCTTTTAAAAAAAATGATTCTTTGTTTGTGAGATGTGCAAACAGAATCATATGCTTAATTATTCACATAGCTTTAATAAGGATAACAACACAAAATCCGAAGGAAATGACTGAAGGATTTGAACAGTAAAATTAAGAAGCATCCATAAAATATGGAATTGGCCATAAATATACTTAGCTTCTACTTAAATTTGACATTAAAATGGTTCTAAGGACCCAGGACTCGGTCTGTAGCGAGTAACAGCAACTTTTCTGTGGTTATTTGTGTCACAGTCAAAGCATCTAGTAGAGGTGACCACCACAAAATGTTTTTGCCATAACTACAGGTAAGAGATAACCAAGCAGTGGCTGCCGTTATCAGACTTTTCCATGCAAAAGATTCAGCACGCTCTAAAAAAGTATCTGTCGTGTGACTACAATGTCGCTAAGTTATGACAAGGAAATATCTGTGATATGACAGTGGCATCGTACAACTGTCAATATAAAGTAAGTGTGATGGGATTGCTCTGTACTCTAAAGCAACTGTCATGTAACAGGGGCTGTGACTAGGCTGTAATAGCAATGTGACTGCAAGGTGCCAGCAGAGTGACTGATAAGTAACTCCTAGAAGAGATGACTCCCCAGTAAAATTGGCTCTAATCGCTTTGAAGTGCTGCAGACCCTATTTGCAGCGACAGGGCTGCCCATCAACTTTGGCGGGCTTTTAGTGGGTACCTCATGAGGGGCCCAGCCAGCTCATCGCTGTGTGTCTGGCAGCCGGTGAGGCCATCCTGGATAAAACATTTTGATACCCATCAGAGTCACGCTGTGGTAAGGGAGGTGACACCAAGTATAGCCTCATGAGCAAATGTTCCCCAAGCCAAAGGTGGGAACCCCAAAACACAGGGGTCTGCTGGGCTCCCTGGATGTCATGGAGAGAGGTGTCACCCCCCAGGACTTCCTGGGGTGGCGTTACCCTATGGTAAGCAGGACAGAGATCTCACGCTCAGGGAGGTCCCCACCATCTGTGAGCACTTTGGACTAGACCTCTGTCTGTGGGTTCATGGCCTCTCTGCTGGTCAGCCCCTCCAGCTCCCTGGAATTAGACCTCAACAAGGAATGCTATGGGCACTTGACAAGTGAGGAGAGAGAATATTACAAATTAATTAAGAAAAAGAGAAGAATTATTATATTCATATCACAGATGGAGATATTGATGTTCAGATTAATTGATTTGCCCTGAAGCTATGCAGCATGTCATTAGCAGCCTTGTGATTACAGGAGTGTTGGTTGAAAAATGGTTTTCATGGATAGTCTTCAATTTTCCAATATATCAATGGAGAAACCTAATTCTCTGAAAGAGAAATATATTTTTTGCAAAAAGAAAGCTGTTAGAGATTTTCCATTATTTTTAGCTTTTGAGATTCCATGTCTCCTCCCCCCCCCTCAGATTTCCTCATCTTTCAGTTTGCCTGAAATAATATTTGGAACGTTACAACTAAAATGAGAAAAAACAGAAGAAAGGTTAAGAGTACTTTTCATTTTCTTTTATCTTTTGGAAGTGCAATGGCCATCTTTGCTTGGGAAGAAGTTCCAGATGGAAAATTAAAAGCTGCTTTAGAACGCCAAGTTTGCCTTATTTAAGATAAAGGCATGGACATTTTTACATCAGTGAGACTGAAGAAAAAGTCAGTGAAGCCATGAGAGGCCAGATGACTAATTTGAATTCTCCTCTTGCTAGTTATTGTTTAACATATAGGGATCAAATTTATTCTTGCACTATATTGTAGCAATTAAGAAAAGAAAAATAATCTGTATTAAAGGTAATAGTCATTAGCCCAAAATTATCTTCTGATGTGAATTATAAACTATATTCTGTGTGTCATTTACCTCTTATTTGGCCAATATCTCAAGTAAATATTTTTGTTAAATTTGCATGCAGCTGTATTGAGTGTTCTGATGATGTGTTTTCAAGCCTGCTATTCGCTGGCTTCTGTTTTACATTCTATCTATATTCTGGTTTGTCTAATACTCACTGGATGGATCCCAACAGCTCTGTTGGAGTGTGGTTTGTAGCTTAGCAGGTATTTCAGAAAACATGTTAATTTGGAGAACGTTCTCTGCTTGGGAGATTGTGCAAAGTGGACTTTGGACCCAGCAGACTATAAAGGCTGGGGAGGAACTGTTACAGTCTGTCGTGCTAATCCTTCTTACAGCCTTTTGGGTCAATAATCTAAGCGCTAATGTTTCCTTAGATCTATTGTGTCAGTTCAGCTGCCTTGGATTCATATTAAATTTATGTGCTTAATATCTTTATGAGATTTTAGTGAAGAAAAAAAAAAAATAAAAAGGATTTGGCATTTATGCCAAAATTCAAAGAAATAATGTAGTCAGATTGCTGTCCCCTTGCACTCCCACCTTCAAAAATCCCAAATATGTTAGCTCGTGTAATGGATCACTGGTATGTATGTCATTGTATTCGGGTCACAAATCAAACCAACTGTGTTGGAAAGGAATGCAAACATCACTCAAGTGGAGAATAATATTTCATACTAAACAAAGGAGAACGGGAATAGAAGTTTATCCTATCTGAAAATGGTTCTGTTTTTGCATACCAATGCTTTCTATCAGCAGAAACACCTGCAGCCACCATAAGGTCCACCTTTCAAAGGGAACGTTTTCATCTTTTCCCTTTTTTCTTTAATATAAAGGAGCAAAATAAGTATACTGATGTGCAATTAATTGCAAAGGCTCACTGCTGAAAAGATTTACTTGTGGTTCAGCAGTGTAATCATCTGTTGGGCATTTGCTATAAATCACGGGTGTCTGCTGTTGTCTCCACTAATTAGTACACTAACTTATTATTAAGTCCCTTAAACATTATACGAGATCTGGGCTGTGCACCGAATTACTGGAGGAATGAGAACACTTGAAGTTTTATTGCACAGCTACAAAGTGTACAGTAAACGTCTGGGTGGTGGACAGTCGTAACGCATACGACAAGATGGACTATATATCCTTTAGTAACTGCTCTACCCATCCATAATTATAAAAGCCCTTTATTTTGCAGCCTTCAGCGTGCCAGTGCAGTCACTCAGGCACCAAATAAAGGTCTCAAGCACAATAATTCAAAGCAACTGGTACAGTAGTAAGTGAAGTTTTAAACAACAGTAGACAAGTTGATTAGAGCCTTTGGAGATGCATGCCCTGAATAAAGGTTAACCTTTGTGAACTTTGAATACAAAGCTTTCAGATGAATTTTATATGAAATCTGGTGACAAAGAAAAGCACTATTCAGCAAGGGCTGATTAATTGAGTTACACTTCATTGTAAACCCCTGACAATGATGGAAAATAAATTTAGCAATACGCTTTGTAGCCGTACAAGTTGACGGGATCTCACTAAAAAGCAAGAATCAGACCACATAAAGGCTCTGTTGAATACCTCTGAAGATAGTCTGGTGAGTGAAATGTAAAGCCAGGATTTACAAATATTACATAAGTGAACACTGTTACTGCACTCAGGCTGAAAAATCCTGTTCAAATCCAATAAGTGGTTTAAGATGTGCAAATAGAGGTTTCTGCAGGGAGTCAGGCATTAGAAGCCACCTGGAGCATGTGGTAAAGATTGTATCCATCAATACAGCAGCTGGGCTGAAATTATAAAGAGAGCTGCTTTCCATCACGCTTGTTTTAATGCATACATTTCTCCTGTCACTAGCACCCCAGGAAAACTACTAACTACAAAAATGAATGGTACCCATTACCTGATATTCATACTTGTGACAACAGAGACAACAATCACAACACAACAGTAAGCAAAAAAACTGATATCCAAATTATTTTTAAGTTGTTGCAGTGGAAAGATCTTGAGAACCAGTTGGTAATATTTTAATAACACTGTAGGTTAGAGGAATGAAGCAGGCATCTGGCATTCAATCCAAAGTTTCCTTCTGCTCCACACATTCCATCAAATCATGCACCAAAGCAGTTTAAACAAAGCAAGATCAGGAAAAAAATTGTTCCAAGAGGGGGAACCCCACATAACGCCCAGCTGCATGTCAGCACCGAGGCAAATGTGACAGTGGTTTTCATTGTGATTGTTTAAAAATAGCATGGATTTACCAGAAGTATGTTCCCTGTGCATAAAGAGTGCTTTTTAGCTCTATGTTAGCGTGGGACTGACTGTAGAGGCAGGCAAAGTAGGCAGCTGCTTACCTGAGGGAGTCACCCAGGGCAGCAAAAAAAATATCATCTGCTGTTTCCTCGCCAAACTGGCAAGGGTGATGGGTCAGAGAAAAGTGCTCCTCAAACTGCCAAGCACTGCCATGAAAACAACGTGCAAGTGCCACTCAGAATCGGGAAAGGAAACCGTTAAATTGCCGGTTGTAAAGCTGTGTTAAAAAAATAATAATAAAAAAACAAGCGAGCCATATTGCATGTGTAGGGACAGACTGTGCCACTAAGTCACAGGCCCAAGCCGTGGGTGGTGTGGAGCAGCATTGTTCCCCAGCAATTAAAATGAACACGCTCGCCACACAAAACTGCAATGTGTTCCTTCCTTTGCGAGTTGTGCCCTCCTTCTGGCTGCGCTTCTGCTCCCTGACACCACCAGCCATCCTGGCCAGCAGCAGCCCTCCCTGGTGTTCCGGGGGAATTTGGGGGACTGCGGGTGTCACCGATGTCTCTCCGCAAAGAAGGAAGGTGAACTGGGTTCCCTGAGTGCTTCCGATCCCTTCTCTTGTGCATCAGTGTCCGGAACTCCCAGTTCTTTATTTAGCTAATTATCTGATTCCATGCAGATTTGGAAGGAATACACTAATACTGATGATAGGTGTTCAGTGCGGAGCAGCTTGTGCAGCTGGATGGATGAGATGTGGGTTGTGGAGCAGTTCCTATGCTGACCTGATTCCCGGGGTCAGGCGGTGGGGCATCAGCTCTCCTTCCCAGATCTCACGCAGGTAAGCAGCAGCTGCCTAGGGAGAGAGGACCACATCGACTCCTTACCTTTTTTCTTGCCTGATTTCTGAGTATCTATGGGTTTTCTTTAATTGTCTGTGAAGAGGGCAGCAAGTCTGCATTCAAACTTTACCAGAGTGTAGCTTTTTCCATCAATTAATACTTCCTTGCGTATGAGGGGAGCTGATAACAGCCCAAACTCTTTCACTGTTTACTTTGCCGTGCAGCTTATTTCCTCGGTAGCCAGCCTGATTTAAATGTGTTAATGAGGGTGGCACAACCTTGCCCGGAGTGATTATTGGTCCAAACTAGGGGAGATGTTTTAGCTGTTCTCCACCGTACCTGAGCTAACAAGGCTGATAGGGATCTCGGGCGGTGAGTAGCTCCGTGGGTAATCCCGCACAGATGCCGATTAACCTCCCCTGGGCTCCCTCCGAGCCCCATGCCTTTGTTCCAGGGCTCTCACTTACCCCAACCACAGTGACACGGCTTTCAGCCCCCCTGTTATTTTCTAAGTCAGCTTTCCGAAGCGTTGAGGGAGGAGGGGAGGGGAGCGGGGTGGGTTTTTTCCCTACGTCCTTGCCTCCGATGTGTAGATCCTTTCACTCAGTGGAAATCTGTATCTCTTTCTGCTGCCATGGTGATTCAATGAGTTTGAGATTATTTTGCTAAACCTGCCTCTCCCAAGAGACGGGGGTTTGATTCTCAGCGTTCTTAGACAGGTCAAGAATCGCATTAGCTCGGGTCAAAAACGCTCACAGTATGAGGAGGTGAGTTTCAAGATCTTGGCAGAGCAGCAAGGAGGACTCGCTCTCGATTCTTGCGATAGACGTTAGGGTGCTGCCAAATAAAAGTGGACTCACACGGGTCCTGCTGCAGTCAGAGACAAACCAGGAGTGGTGCAAACAGTCCACCTGAGGAGGAAGATTAGGAAGCATACGATACGATAGCATCAGGCACAACCCAGGAAGAGACGGCAGGTGAACCTTTGAAGCCCTTTAATTTGAGACAAATTGTTGTGCGATAGCTGCTCGGCAGCCCAAAGGCAGAAGCACGTTTGTGCTTTGCATATCCATGACTTGTGTTGCACAAACAGAAGTACAAAAGGCCACTGTTCTTGGTTTGCGTGTGCACACGATTAGGTCCATTCACAAATCCACTTTATTCTGCACTGTTATTTATGTATACACCAGTCAGCTGCACAATGCAGCACATGGCTCTTCCTGAGCACGCAGTCTGCAAGCCTTAACCTTCTGATCTTGAACCAGAACTGGGTAAAAAGCAGAATTTTTAACCACACGGCAAAGATGATTCTAAAATAAGTGTTCTATTTTGAAATGTAAATGATTAGAAAGCTACCATAAATTGAATCATCTTCCTAAAAATGATTAAAGAGGACTTTGTAATAGTTATGTCATAGTTATGTCTAATACTGGAAAGAGTCTACATATATATATATATTTCAACGACCTATTTCTTTTTAAGGAAGACATGCTAAGTGAAAGATTCCACAGAACTGACGTTTGTGAATCTTTGTTTCTCACCATCAAAAGTTCAGTAAAAACTGTTTTACTCATATCTATCTTGAAATGCTCTCAATATACAAACTTCATATTGTGGCTTATTTATGTTTTAATATCTTACACATCAAGTTTTACCTAAAAGCTTCAAAGTACTTTGAAAGCAATAGATTATGCTACAGCCCAGTGGTAATTATTAGCATATCAATTTTATGCAGAGTTGGAAGAATCCAGGTCATATCAACTGATTTCTAAACCTCATCTCAGTCTCAGTCTGATCATACAATAAATCTTGGCTCATTTTGGAGCATATTTGTGCGGTTTTACTCATGGCAGTGGTTTTCTACAGCTTTAGCAGTATCTTCAAATTCTGCCACTGGTCCAGTATAAATCCAGGAGTCCCTTGCAATGATCAGGATACGTAAAAAAAGTGTTCACCTGCTCAGCTTTACTTACATTATCATACTTGCATGCTACTGTGAAAAGAACATTTTGAGGTAGGCTGCATTTCAATTTATAGCTATAGTTAGTCTGCTGCATGGGACTGCTTACAGGCTTTTTCCTCTGTGACCATGAACTTTAGCTTTTTCTGTATGAGTGCAGAATATCGCAAGGAATTTTATTTCTTAATGTTTGTGTCGTGCCCTGACTTGTTCCACATGACTTCTTTCTTCATGCGTTATTTTTAGCTGGCAGCCTTGTAAATGCAGACTTGCCAGTAAATGGAGTTCAAGATCAGTCTCAAAAAAGCAAGGCTTTCAAAAACTAAATATGTTGTCTAAATATTCATTTCAGGAAAGAAAACATTCTCGGATGAGGCAAAGCCAGAGTTTTTGATTTCTGTGATTTAGAAGAAGCAGGGGAAGGAAAGAAATCAGTTGAATTCTTCTCATGGAAGTTTGCAATTTTGTTAAAACAGTTAAAGTCATTAACTTGTGAGTCATTCAGAGCTGCAAAGCAGATTTACCTATATTTGACAATACATACCTGAACTCTCAAAGGTAATGGGGCTGTGGGTTGTTTGTCTTGGAAAGACTTTTTTTTGTCATAATTTTTACTATGTACATATATTTTTTACAGGAAATTTTGTCTGTTTCTGCTATTCTCAAGGAAAGCTAACAGGGAAAAACTGACACTGCTGTCTAGCCCTGGGAAAGTTATTAAGGGATTAAATTTCCTTCTCTAGGAGCACGGACCAACTTTTACTCGGCAGCCAGGACTGGGGTGATGTGTCCTGCTGCAGAGAGGGAACATCATGGGGCCATTCTCTTGTAAATCTTCTGCTGCCCAGCACTCACCGCTGTTGATATCCACTGCGACACAGCTTGACGAGGGGAAAACCATAAATACATTTCACAGTGGAAAAGACAATTCAGAGGTCCATGAAAAGTGCTTGATGACTCCAGCTTACGCACAGGGAGGACCCCAAGCAACCAGGTCCAGATGTAAGTGTTTAGGTTCACAGTCCCAGAGTAGAGAAGACCTGCCAAAGTGGGAGTAAAACATGAAAAGGTACAAATTTAGACTAAAGATGGAGATTTGTGGGTAGAATTTTTGCTATGCCTAAAAGTCAGCTTTTATTGTGCAATTTATAGCAATTTTAAATACTAACCTATGTGGGAAAAAGATTGTCAGAGAGAATCTTTATTTTCTAGTATATGAATAGCCCCTTGGCTGAAAATTGAATGCAACCAGCCATTTCCTTTCCTCATCAACTTTGCACTGTTCCTTTTCCTCCCTCACTTGTTTAAGTGCCTAGATTAGGCTACATGTGAGCAATTGACGGATGGCTTAAAAACTTGAACAGAAATTAATCTTTTCAATGCACTTCTTATTATCTTTTCCCCATGTCACCACTTTAGGAAGTCATTTGCGAGGGAGGGAACAAAAGAAAAAAGACTTCCTAAATCTGTAGACTTCCCTCTTCTTACAAAATCCTTCTTCTGTCTTGATGGTATGGGATTGACCTGAATTTTCATCATTCTTCAGTAAAATGTTGAAGCTGGATAAACACGGCCTTCTCAAGTGTAGGGGAATTTGTGTAAAGTTTGCTGTGCCTGGACTGGTTCCAGAGTTGTTATCTCTGGATTAATGGTCCCACCTGATCTGAACACAGTGCTTATAATAACAGTAACACAGGAGCTGAATCAGCATGAACTGTAGCATCAATAGTCCAGCATCACCACGTCTGCAAGTAGCAATAGAGACCTTAACACTTGTACTTTTGCATTTTTATGAAATTATATTTATTTTTTATTTTTAGTCCATAACCAAAGGCCTGATTCTGCTCAGAAGGAAAAAAAAATTGAGCTGCTTTACTGACTTCAGTAAGAGCTGGATTTTGATTAATTTTTTTTTTTTTCAGTTTTTATTTTTCAACTCATTTTGGTGTGAGCATAGCCAATTTGCATACATGCCTTCTAAAATCTGTAACCAGTAGAAGGATGGATATTTTTGTGTGCCAGAGATTCTGCTTTTTTTTTTTATGTTATCTTCCATTTAATCCTGCATGTTATCTTACATTTAAAAGCTCAAATTCTGTTTGGACACAGGTGATGAAAGTCAACAGGCATATTTGAATTCATGGAATTCTGATTGTCGAAACTGCTGTTTTTTCTCACTCTATGAATATATTGCCATGCCAGAAAGAGTCACTAGGAGTGGACTTTTCATGAGAATCACTCTAACATTAAAGTCATAGTCTGTTGGTTCATGCTTTCTCTATTGTAGGATTTTACACAAGTTTTGATATACTGAATTGACTAGATATGTAATTCTACCTGCTTTTGTCGTGTGTTTCACCTGAACAAATATCCTCTCTGCATCTCAAAGCTCAAGATATTTAAAAGCTATGTGGATTGCTTTATTAGTACAAAGTTTCCCTTCTCCCTGGTCTTCCTAGTCACTCGTAAATAATACAGACACAAGTACATTCTGTTTTTTCCAACAATATCTCCTTTTTGCCTTTATCTCGCTTTATTTTTAGCATTCGCAGTGAATTGGTAAAATTTAAAACTAAAATAAATACTTCTTTCAATGAGGAGGACAAATTTTTAGGAAAAAAATGGAACTCGGACTAACTAATTTCAATTAAGTTTGCATATTTGATCCATACACTTGGTTCTGTATTAAAGTGACAGCTTAATTGGCGGTTGTGGCTAGATCTAATTAAATCTAATAAAGGCGATGAGCCTTTTTAGGTTGGCACGTAGATACCGGCAAGTTACATGTGTATGTTACTGTATCATATATTAGATATCTTGAAGCAGAGGAAATATAAACATGTCTTTACTGTGCATCTGGTACTAATGTAGGAAAACAGTATCCTAAAACATGACAAACATGGAGAAAAAATTAAAGCCCTTCGTTATATGTATAAATTAAATTTTATTAGCATAAATATAAGCTTCTGATTTTCAAATAGGGCTTGGCCAATTTTACATATTTTGAATAAAAAACTAGTCCAAACATGAGGAAGATGCACTTAAGACTCTTTAATTAGAACAATGTTTTGCCTCTATCTAAGAAGATTCTGTCTGACTCCTGCAAGCCCCTGAAACAGCACATTTTCTGTCTGTAGCACTGAATCCATTGAGGTTATCCATGTATTTACATTGGTTTTCTGTTTGCTTATTTATCTGGGAAAGATGCAGACCTTATTCACTGCTGATAAGTACTGCAAAGTGCTTGTTGCTATCTATTGCTGAATTTGCTTCTTCCTCCATCGAATCTAATCCTTTTGTTCACTTATGTATTCACAGGGTATAAATGCCTCAAGGAGGACAAAGTCAGCTGAAAAAAATAAAGGATATGTTCCAAGAAAGCAATACTAGTATGTTAAAAGAAACAAACTGAGAACCAGGCAAAAACTTTAAAATTAACACAAAGCAAGAGTAAGTTGTGCCAAATATTCTGTCATGTTTAGGTGGTAAATCCTTGCCAGCGTCATTTCTTGTTGTTCAGTACTTATTATCTTCAATACCAGTGAAATTTATCTACTTGCTTGTAAAAATCAATTGATAAATAAAATGAACGTGTGTGTATATATTTGTGTGTATGTATGTATATGTCAATGCCCTAGTATCTCCATATCTATGTAAGAAAGCAGATTCTGTCCCCATCTCTACAGCACATCCCCAGGTGATCCTGAAGAAGATATACTAAGCAGAGCTTCTGCACTAATTCGCCTTTTAAGGGGTTTGATCTGAGACAGATTTTTCATGCATGCTCAGAACTCATTGCTCCAAGTGACATCAATGATAGTTTTGTTTTGAACGTACAAAGAGCAAGATAATGCTAACTAATCAAAAAGGGGGGGCTCACAGGTCTCAGATTGGGTACCCAGCATCAGTACATGCTTTTAGGATTACTACATATGCCTTGTGTCCCCAGCTGAAACATAAAGAGTAGCCGCTCCATCATTCCACAAGGTTGTTATGAAGATAAGTGTGATTAAACAAGATTTGGATAACGTTGTGATGAGCACTGGAGAAACATTTATCACTCTGATTTTAGAAGGTTGTTTGAATAGTATGCATCAGGGGGCTGCAAATGGAACAGGAGAAAGAAGAATGGATAGCTGTTCATTAACTGAGTAAATGCGATCTACTTTGTGCCCTGAGTGAAAGCAGGATACCATGCAAAAATGGCTTGTGACGAGGTTATCAGAATCTGTATTACTAAACTTATTTACAGAAAACTGCATTTTCTAACTTTTAAGTGCTTGACTTTCTAACCAAAATTATGCTCTTCAACTGCTTTTTAGGATATTTTGCTTGTATTAGACAGGCAATTTCGCTTTTGCAGCTTTGTGTTTGTTACGTGAGTCATTAAACGTTGCTATAAGTATCTTGTCACCCACAGTTGATAGTTTTGCTCAGCACCAGCTCTGCACATCGTATGTGCTAAGATAGCCCGGTCAGGCATTCCTTGCCCCATATATTAACACAGGTTATCACAGAGGTAATTTTTCTCAACCTGTTCTTGGAGTTGATTTCTTCCTTATCAAGACTAAAGAAAGGTTTGTTTCCCAGAGTTTGCCTCTCTTTCCTAAGGATCAGCAAAGGTGTTAACAGAGACTCACTCCCCCTGCAAATTGTCCCTTCCTGCCTTAGACCACCACTGCTGCTATGGCACTGCTTCTTCCATCACCCATCACTTGATACCCTCTTGTTGCTCTGCTCAGTAACTCCACATGCACACCTTCTCTCATAATAGTTCATGGAGGCTTTAAGAAATGAGTAGTATGATCTGGTGGAACCGTTTGGCTTATTTTCTTACAGACCCAGCCTGGGATTGAATAAAAAGCTACTGAGTTATACATTAAAGAGGACATAGAACAAGTAGTTTCTCTTTGCAGGACTTTTCATGCAAATGAGCTAGGGAAAACAAGATCCTTTTACAGCTTTATCATTAGGTAGAAACTCATCCAATGTGACTAAAGCTCTATTCCAGCCTGGAGTGTTTTCCTCGACCCTGTTTTACCAGCACTGTACTTGGAATTCTGACGGGCAGCAACTGGTGCATGCTGCAGACTACAGCTCCATGAGCGTGTTTAGTAATGTGCACACCACCACAGGAGAAAATTGGGCCAGAAATCATAGTCTGGAGGCAAAGAGATTTCCCTTTCATTAAACTAACAGCAGAAGCTCTACTGAGCTTTTCTCTGCAAGCTGTCACTCTTGGATGTTTCTATAGACTTTCCAAACTGCTAAGTTGCAGTAAATAGCAAATAAAATAATTTGGCCCAGTCACCGTTTGGATCTATGAAGTTTTACATCTCAGAAAGCTCCTAACAATCAGACAAGCTCAACAGATTTTTAAGAAAGTGTAATCAAAAGCCTGGAGGATGTGTTAGAAGTATGAGTTCTGCCTGACTCTGCTAGTGAAGATGAAGCCAACTGACAGTGCATTATAAAGAATATATGTCTCTGTAGTGATGCCTTTCATGGAAGAGCACTTGGTACTTTCTGATGATGAGCAAAGGGATTGAACAGTGTGGTTTTAGTGCGGCAGTCATGCACTCCCAGCTATGTGAACTGAACTCAGTCAGAGAGGTAATGGACAGCTGAAATTTTTGACTGATGTTTGATGGTTGCTGTTAGCCAAAGATCAGTAATTTTTAGACCTTAGTAGCTAATTTCTTCTTTTACTGTAACAGGTGGCTCATTAGAACAGCTGAATTGTTTGTTAATAAGTTTTGTTCTCTAGAGATAAGTGTTTGTTACTGTATATTTGGGGGTTTTAAGTCATTTTTGTTAAGCACAATATAAAACAGTAATATGGACTTGTACTGCACAGGATGGGTTTATTCCAGGCAGAAATCTGCATGAGTCAATGCTGATCCTGTGGAGCGTGTTTTAAAACTGTTCAGTTGGACTTACCATCATAGAAGACAGAGTTGCTGCATGGCAAGGGTGTCTTTGCTGTGTTGCATGTGTAGTTCCAAAATCACAGCTTGCTCTTTGGATCATCCAGAGAGACAGAGGGAGAGAAACTGCTGGGTATATAGACTGTGATTGCTTATTTTAACTCAATATAAAACATAAGAATACAAGACTTCTGACAGCTTTAAAGCTCAGCAATCTCCAATATGTTGATTCTGCTATTCTATACATTTAATTTTCTTTTTAAAATGTATCATATTTCTCCAAGCAGTGATTTGCTTTTCAAATTATCGTTGCCTAGCTAAGACTTGTGTACCAGGTGCCATGTAAAAGCATGTTAAAAGTAGATAAAAGCAATTTATCCTGCCCCCTAATTAGAGATGTCTTGTCTTTACCACTGACAATAGCAGTATGCAGCTGTGGCAGAGGAGAGATAATAGCACCAGAGCAGAGAGAAATTAAAGATAGGTTATCATATGTTGGCTGATGTAGAGTGTCATCTCTCCATTGCATAGCTAAGATGGTCCTTAGGAAGAATACTAACTTAGCTCTTGCCCTGACTCAAGCAGATTTATTTTAGTTATTAAATCCAAGGTAGGATTTTATTATAATGAGGCAAAGGGGGCAGAATAATAATGTCTCCATTAAATACACGGAAAGAGAATGTGACTCGCCGTGATTACTGTATCAATAAATACATGCCCACCACGTCCCAGGATGTGCTGGATCTTTATGAGGGTGGGACTGAGATTCATTTTTGCCCTGCATAGAGTTCCTCTTCTTATGAAGTGAATGAGTGTCGGGGGGGTCATATAATGGGATAGATGACAGGATGGCATGTCTCCTGGATGATATAAAGGGCACCTTTAGTTCAGCAAGAGGCTCAAAATGAATGGGGAGAGGGTGTCATAAGCCTGGACAGATATTCTCTTTTTAAATCTGGTACCTAAATTTGTTATGTACAGGGAGTCTGCACTGGAAAGGTGATGTGGTAAAAAGAAATCACCATCAGGGTTAGGACTGAGCAGTGTTTCAGGAACTACAAATGGGTCCAATGTGTGGGACCCAGTGGGGAAAAACTGAATGCAGGTGGAGCTGGATAGATGATCTGTGTTGGCTTTTGAAAGCCAATTTCTTTATGCTGTATCAATACTGCTGGGGTATAACTCCCAAGTCCTTACCACAAAACCATGGTTGCCAAACTGTTCAGGAGTTAAATAACTTGTCCTTTGTCTTCAGGAAGATGCTAACAAGGGAGTCATTATCCATGGATGCTTTGTCCAGGTCAGAAGAGATCTAAGACCACGGCCAAAACTTATTTCTGAGGGAAAATGTGCTGGTGGGGAGAGGTTGTGTTCAAGGTCATGGTGGGGAATGAGATCATGACCAGGAAATGGGCTGGATCACACCGCACTGCTCTGTACTGACGCAACAGTTGATATGTCTGAGTTTCTGAGTTAGCTCATGGTCAGATCTCCTGGACTGTATGACATGCAATATTGTACTGAACAAGCCTCTCATGTTCCAGCTCCTGATTGCATAAGATGGCACATTATGCATCTTTCCAGTGTCCCAGATATATGTGCAGCTGTAATAAACTGAAAGAATGTGTATCAAGGCACAAAAAGAAGATCAATTTTAGTGTATGGCATTCAAAATCAACAATGACTTCTGCAAATCTAAACTGACTTCCAGAAGGAGTAATGTTTGCATTAATATTACTTAAATTGGGAAATAAAATATTTATTTAGAACATAATATGTATAAAATCACAGGTGTCCCTCTGCTGCTTTTGCAGTGTGATGCCTGAGAACAGTGCTTATCACGTACGTGCTCATGCCGTGGTACTGCAGGTACTCCACACTGTTTGAGAGGCAGAAGTGTTTATCAGCTCTGACCTCTCTAGCTCCTGATTTAAGGGAAAAGAGATAAAGACATACCCCTCTACTTCTCTTGTTACATCAGATATAGACACAGTATAAGGTTTGTTGACTTGTTTTGTTCTCTCAACACATTTTAGTGACACCACTTGCAGTACACGACATTTTCTCCAACAGTCTGATGAACCGTATTTTAGTATTAATGAGCAGAGTTGGAGGGGAAGGTCCAAAAGAAAATGAGTTTAGCTGGTTTGAAATAGTCTGGTACATTTCTCCAAACCTTTCACCTGTCTAGATCCCATCAGGAACTGACAGAGATCAGACTCACTCTATTTTAAATAAAATGCTGATGTTACCTATGAGTATAAGCAATTCCTGTTTCTCCCACAGGTATGTCACTGAAGTGGATCGAAGATAAATCTAGCATCAGAGTAACACTCTGAACTGTGGTCCTCACAGCAACACAGGATGATCCCCTTAGTTTAAATCTGAGCTCTGCTATCTGTTTTCAGAGAAGGGGAATTTAAGTGCTGGAATTAATGAGTTCGTCCATTTCTATATTGTCAGAGTAATGCAGAGAGTAGGTTCAAAGGTCTTAAAATCCTATTTATGTAGTATCTGAAGTATTGCAAAAATTCGCCCCGTAATTTTAGATTTATATCCTGTGGTTCTGAGTTTCTCAAATCTTTTTCTAACTTTATAAAAATAATTTTACATGATGCTTAGTGGGATTACAATGTGTACTTCAGGACCGTAGCTAGA